TGCCAAATCATTCAATAATTAAGTTTTATGTTATTTGTATGAACGACCAAGCATGCAGTATTCCTTTTCAAATCAAAGGGAGGCTTAAAATTACTTTTTGAACACTTTCAGACCATGGTCAGGTCACAGTTTGGGGGCTGAATTAAAATGATCTCATTCATGATCTAATTGAGGTTGGCAAAACCTTACCAGTAGCAGGAGTACATAAATATAAATCAAAGACCAAAATTTAGCAAATCATATCATTTGCTAGAAATCTGCTCATGAATTATTCTCCGATCGCCAACCCAGAAGTTAAACTTTGTCTCCCCTCAGCAACAGTAACTGCGCATATTTTTTCAGGCTCCTGACAGGAAAGTTGGAGGCTGAAAAGAGAAAAGGGAAGGAGGATGATCAATGTCTCATCAGATGTTGTGTGTTTGTGACCCAAGGAAGTCTGAGAGTGAATAAAGCCATGTCCATTACAGTGGAGGCTGCGGTCTTGGTTAGAAATTATTCTGGGCTTCTGAACACCAGACTTTGGAAGAGCAAGCCGCGGGGGCACAGAAGGGATGGGAGGGGAGGAGGCATTTGAGAAGGATCTGATGATTGAACTTTGCTTTCATTTTTCAACTGGGGGATGTAATCATCATAATGATTCCTGGTTTTGTTTTGTTTTGTTTTGTTTTTACAAATTTAGTTCTCTTACTGAGCTGAGTTGAGGGGATGAGATTTGAAGTTGTTGTTAGAATTAAAAGACTATACACACATGTTGGCGTACATATTCAAGTTGCCTTTCTTTCTTGTTTTATTTTTGAAACATTACTATAAAATTAAAACTACAGATAATTTTCCCCATAGTCTATGGGATTAAATGTCATGTTCTATTATACGTAATCCATTTTCAGTCGTTCTTCATTTTTCTTGGTTGCTGTGTGTTATTTCAGCTAAAACCCACACACACACTCTAAACTGGAGGAGACCTAATTCTGAACTTCAGTATTTTAAAGTGAAAAATTTTGAAGTCCCATTTAAATGAAGATATTTTTTCAAGCAGACAATAAACCCAGAACTGGTCAGTTTGCCAAACTTTATCTCAAGAGCAAATTATGAAGGTGTATTTTTAAAGTAGATAAAGTAGAAACATTTTAAAGTAATCTCAGGTGACATAGGTAAATGATTGCATTCTTTTGGGAACAGGTAATTGGCATTAGTGATTTCCTGTGACAAAAAGGCAAAACATATTCTAACATTAAAGAGTATAATGGATTCTTCTTTAATGTTGCTAATATGACAATATAGTGATTTTCGTTCTTTCTATACTGTTTTGTATTTCTTTTTATAATGAGCTCTAGGAAAGAAAGGTACTCCTGACAGGTGATAAACACTCCCTCCCAAAAATAAATGATCAATAATAGATGGACAGATTAAGATATCATGCTATTTAAGATCTGAGATTTTTTTCTCCCTTAAATGAATAAGTAAATTTCAAGAAATTTAGTGCCCAAGTGATCTATAAATGTAGTAGATAGCTTTCACTGTTTTTTTCATTTAAATTGCATTTATATTGTTTTATATATCTGAGTAACTGTAATCAAAGAAACTTTGTAATTTGCCTATTCTTGGAAGTACCTAAGTTTCTATTTTAGACACAAAACCCATCAATGGAAGTGTTTCACATCATGAGATTTCTCAGTTTTAAGAGGTGAGGTTTATATATAAAGAACTCAGTAAACTATGTTTTCGTAATAAATAAACCCAAGAAGAGGGGAAAATCTCTAAGCAAAATGGTTGTCCTCTAAAGATTTTCCATCACCTTTGCTCTGCTGATGGGAATTTGAAAACTAAATACAGCCCATGTGCACATACACACACACACAAATGCACCCTAGGACCCCCAACTCTCGGACTTGTCCTCTTTAACTTTCATTACAGTCTTATAGCTTGTGGGTGAGATACATTTCAGCAAAAATAGAAGAGGTGAAGAATTAATGTAGCCTCCTGTTTAGTAGGATTTATTGTACGGAAAAGAGCGTTCCCCATGCACGTGACTTAAAAAACTTACTTGCACCTATTAATCTAAGCTTTAAGTGTATTATTTAAGATAAATTACAAGCTTTGTGCTTTTAAACTGTTTGCCTTCTTTTTCCTTCAATATTACCAACCTTAACACAGATTATGCTAAATTGATTGCAAATTATTATGGTTTTTAAAACAGCATTCAGGAGTCCTGAATAAAGATGGTATTTTAAAGTAGTGTTTACAGTATTTAAAAGAAAGAAAAGGTGAGGGAATTAAACTATACTGAACACTTAGAAGTGTGTGGAGTTTTATACTTGTGCAGATAAAGTGTGAGGTAGCCTTGCCCTGTGAAACCAAGACCACAAATGATATGTGTCAGTAGGTTCTTTGATAGGGCTTCTGGCCACAGTGTTTTTGTGCTGTCAAACTGCTATGTTGAACAAACACCTCCTCTGGGACAAAGTGATAAATGCAGAGACAGGCTGGCTTCAACCAGTCTCAGCAACCTCCTCAACCACACCCCCACCCCCGGGCCCACCTCCCACCTCCCACCATCCTGCTGCCTCTCCACCCTGCTCGCCTGTACCTGAAATTGACATGTACAGAGCCATGCCCAGGGCTTTTCAAGGTGTCAGCGGTGAGTGATTATTGATACTCCCCCAATCTTATGAATCAGTCCTCCGAAACTGCAGGCAAAGTCCGTTTTCTGGCAGACTTTATCTAGTCTTTTTAAAATGGAAATGGACTGAGCTTCTAAACTTCTGCCAACTTGAACTTTTTCCACTTTTGCTTAATCATTTGAAAACCACTTGCTTTCCTCTTGTCTTCCCCACCCCCCCCAGCCACTGGAGTTTTATTTTCTAATGTTCAAGCAATTACATTGTGCAACACAAAACAAAATTGTGCCTTAAAAAGTCCAAACACTGTTACCTCCTACTTTTCACTTTCCAGCGTTCTTTCTGGGCTAACACTTCAAATGTATAGCCAACTGGTTTTTTATTTTTTCCTCCTCTCTCTTGGAGCCATTATTCTCTGACTAAAATCTGTTTACTGGTGCCTTTGTGTATGTGTGTGTGTTTTTTCCCCCCTGACATTAAATGAATTTCCATCTCCTACTTCTGCAATCTCTAAGAAATAGATAAACCATTATATTTTTTCCCCGGCTCGTATTTTAAAGCGGTGATCCTGACAGCAGGACGATTATTGCACTTTATGTTTTAGTGGATGTTTGCTGTTGCTAGTTACAGCAACACTTATCATAAGACAGCAAGAAAAGAGTAGTCCCTGGTAATTAAAGTAATGAAATATTCATTTACTCTACCTTTTCTGTAGTCTCACAAATTAGGCTGCTACATTTAATGCCTGCACTGCCTCTGTTTTTATTATAATGGCAGCTTTCGCATCTGCAATTAGGACTAATTCTGACAGTTACAATTTCTGAGGGATGGTAAACAGTGAGCGAGATGTGCAGCAGAGGTATTACACGTGAAAAGCCCTTGTCTCTTTAACCTTGTTGTTTTTTTTCTCGCAGAGGTTACCTTTTCCCGATGGTGCAAAATCGACTTGACATAACTGTTCATCAGTTTCAGGGTTTTCCCTGGAGGTATTTGCATCAAATCAGCCCAGTCAAGCTTCAAGTTGAAATTGGCAGGCCAGAAACTGACAGGGTAGAGACTGGAAAAGAGACAGCTAAAGTACAGGCAGCAAACTGACAGTAGCAGAGTGAACGACAGAGAGAGAGAGGGGGAGATGGGGTGAGAGCGAGAGCTTTTCAACTTCAGTGCAAGGGAAATCTCCACTCCTGCATGAATCTCAGTGCCATGTATCCGGGAGGAACTTGAAGGGTCGAGAGCTTCAGAACACCTTCAGCTAATTCTTGCCACTAGGGCTCAGCAGCCCTGCTCCCGGGGTTCACTCTCGTTTAATCTGATTGGATGCCTGAAGAGGAGTGGGCACACTTAATTAAACAGGAGGAAAGTTCTGAGGCACCTCCTCAGCACTTATTAAAGCTTGAAAGCCAAATCTCATGATCAGTGTTATAGGAGGCAAATAAGGCAGTTTGGGTTTTTTTTCCTCCTAATTGTTAACTTGAAGGAAAGTTAACAATCCTTCTCTTTACCAGGTTTGTTTCCTTGGGTTTCTACTCTGAAGCAGGTTAGATGTCCCCAGAGACCAGAGCTCAGGAGACTGTCAATTCAAAAGTTAGTGCATTTTTCGTCAACAAAAACAGCCACGCAGCAAAAATTACACTTGAAGAGATACTCCTTTGAATAACACGGGGTTGCAAGTTCTCTTTGTCAAATAACCCCCGCCTATCCTGATAATGGATGAACATTTATTCAGTCGTTTAAAGGCCAAAAAAAACATGGCAAAACCTTGAAATAGCAGTGACATTAAACTTTTATTTCACTATCGGGAACGTCACTTTGAGAAAAATCTTATGATTGCAAAACTTTTATAATTGCTCTTACAAAGAAAACAAATATGAAAAGCGCCCCCTTTGCCTGAATGCATTTTTCCCCCTCCTTTATGTCTATTTTAAGCAGTATTTTTTGTCATCCTTCCTTATTTCTTCTAACTTTGGAGGTGGGGGGTTGTTGGTGTCTTTACTAGATGATTTAAAATCCTCACCACTTTCCAACTAGACTTGGGGGTCGAATAAGCCCTTGCTTTCAAAGCGTCTTCAGGCTCTGTGTATGACAGGCATTGGCTGATCTGCTGATGCCCATTCGACAGGCACTGTTGAACTAAAGTGGTGTGACGGCACAGTTTTGTTAAGCTGTGAACAAAGAGCTGAAGATGCCTTCCTGGCATCGTCCATGTGCATATTGGCCTTGTCACAGTTTTGCTTGATTTAATGCTCGGTTTATTCCTAGATATTAAAACTTAAATTCCGAACAATATGTTTTCAAATACTACATACCAACTTTATTTTAAAAGCGTCAACTTCGAAGATCCCAGGGTTCATTTGCTCCTCCAGTTTCTGTGTAGCCAACGTTAAAACACAGCTTTGGAAATAAACAGATTGCCAGTAGCCTCTTAGCTGTTATCCATTTAAAAATGGGATTCCAGTCTTAAAAAGTCTTATTAGGGGAAAAGATTTATTTTTCTTTGATCATTGGTTGAAAGTTATTATTTATTTCCAACAGTGGATCCTCGCATAAATTCCTGAGAAGTTACCTTCTGTGCACACAGTCTGGGTAGACTTTCAAAAAGATGTATTATTAAAAAGATATGCAGTTATAAAAGAAACCATTTACAAATACCTGTCAGGTTAAGGACAGGGCTACCGGCAGGAAGAAAGAAATCAAGGGGGTTTCTGTTAAAGTGAGCGCTCTTGAGGAGACAGCAGCAGAATTAGGATTGAGTCTAAAAAATAAAATAGCCGTTATAAAAGTCCCTGTTCCACAGACAACAGCTAGCTCTTCAACAGAAAACTTAAGTTTAGAGCTAAATTTAGATGCCTGTGTCCGGTCGAATGTGTCTTGAGCTTTATCTCTGCCGGGTCTTTGTTTCCCCTCTGCCTCTCTTTCCTCCCTCAGGTTGGCTTCAAGTGTTTGCTAAGAGATTAGTTAGCAAGTTTATATTGAGGAGGTAGCCATGGGGAGCAGCTCTCTGCCCGAAGGAACGCGCAGTGGGTCAGAGTGTGAAGATACGGGAGCTCAGGCTGACTAAGGCCCCGGATCAGGTACTTGATTTTCTCTTAAAGACACACTGGCTCGTAGAAAGGGTTGTGGAATGACATCTCGTCCCAACAGGAGCACAGATGTTACCACTTTTAGAAACTTCCAAACAAGCATGATTGCTGCAACAACTTTATGAAAAAAAAAATTTAGGTCTATCGCCAGAACACTCCCTTTTCATTCTGTAAAGAGGTTGTAATTGGAGATATTCGAGGTGTTTACCTCCATTCACAAAACAGCATCTTTCCGGAGCGTGTTACGAGGAAGGTGGCAAAGGAGAGAGAAATATTCAGCAGCATGGAAGTATTGCTGCTAATAAGCAGGGAGACTGCACTAAAAATCTGAAATTGAATCTCTAGAGTAAAACACATACTCATTTCCACCTGCTCTAAGAACGCATTCTTAGCAGTGACAGTTTTACTAACTGAAATAAATTGCCTTTTTTTTAGTAGTAGTAGTAGTTTACTCAATATCATTTATACCAAATAATTTTCACAGCTGTAAAGAGTGATACAGGTTGGAGTGACCAGGCAAGAATAAGTTTTCTTGCTAGTTTTGTATAATATCATACAGACACCCCTGCCGGCAGCATGGATAAGATACTCTGGCCTATTCTCTGAATTTCGTGAGAGACTTTTGTGTTCTTTCCCATTGGTGTGAACAAGACTTAGGCAAGCAAATCTCCAACCTGGCAAAAGAATACATGATACGTTAGTGGGGTAGTATTAAATCTATGTTGATGGAGTCGATTCTTTCTTCATATATGAAGTGAACTCTGACATTGGTTTGGTGTTTCCTATGAAAACTTTGTTAGCCACGGTTTATGAAGGAGACAGACAAATAGAAGTGGATCCAAATAGTCCTCCTGCCCCAACCCCCAGCTCAACACGATCCGCTGTGTGGTGCTAACTCATAACATTCTCTCTGTAAATTGCTCTAAATGAAGCCATCATCCTGGCTATGTTTTATAACAAATGCATGGCTGGGACCAACATGACTTCTCACCTTTTAATGAACTGTCCCAGTTTAGGATCTTCTAAGGAATGGAGTGTAAAAGGAAGCAAAGTAGGAGATGAAGAGATCTCGTAAATAGTTTCCTTTGAACAACCACAACTGCTTACATGGCCTTTCCCCCTTTTTTTCCGGGCTAGCAGAAACAACGGCCTAGCCCAGGGCTCATACAAGGGAGCACATTTGAGAGTGATTCATTGGATGATTTGAGGGAGACACCAGCTCTGGGAGGCCAATGAAGAGCATTGGCTGAGAACATCCCTGACATCGGGAGTGGGTGGGATGTTAGTATAAGTCGTTCCTGGAGGAATTTCTGATTCACATGAGAATAGGAAGCAGAGATCTTCCAGCCGCCGGTCAGCATTGGTTTTAAAATAAACAGATATTGATGGCTGCCTTTTTCTCCCACCCCATTCCTAGCCGAGCGAGGAAGTTCTGCTTCATGTAAATAAGATCTTTGCATTTATCTGCACTGAGGTAGGGCTTTAATGATGGGTATCTGCAAGTCAGGAGAATGAATGTGATCTCATTGTATCTCAGTGCAGAGATGAGATAGTGGGGAGCTACAGCACACCAGTGCATTGTGCCCGGGTGTCGGGAACAATCCTTCCCATCTCCAAAGCAGCGACTCTTTCTCTTTCATCATTGTTTCCTTACCTCACTTGTATTCTTCTTCCGATACAGATCTGAGTGAGTTGTGCAAGCTTCAGACTTGCCAGCCCCCAGCTCCCAGGCCTAGAACAGAGTAATTCATAAACTTACCATATTAGACTATCAGATTGAAACCAAGAGTTTCTACTAGTGGTGGAATTGGAAAGCCCATTGTTTTGATTATCATTTCATCAGCCCCAACTGATACTAGCATGCTCAAGGAAAACACACTTCAGTTACAGTTGATTTTCAGATTCCAAAATGGTGCTGCAAAGCCTGTGCATCTATAATTATATTTTATGCTAGGCTGTGCAATACCAAAATATACGCTGCAGCAATCAGTGAGCGAACAGTATCAATCAATTTGTAAACAGATGAAGTCACTCATTCCCAAACTGGTTTTCCAAAAACAATTACTAAATTACAATAGAAAAAAATTGTACAGTTACTGTATTTGTGTGCTGTGTTACAATCAACATACCAGGGAAACAAAACAATTTAATGCAGAAAAATCATCATTCATCTACATTATAATTGCTTCTTTTTCACATCTACAGGGCGGTTAATTAAAATTGTGATTAAATGCGGTCGCGCTGCCTAAGATGTCTTGCCCAAAACAGGTGGTACAGAATTTAAAAGTAAAAAAAATGTAATTAGCATTGGAAATTGAGAAATTGCCTGTAAGAATCAGTGTTAATTTCAGTCAGTGATGAGGTAATTTATAAATGAATGCAGTGGAGGCTGTGCAAATGCACATTGCCTTCCTTGCCATTCTTAGCATTCTCAGCATGCAGGTGAAAATGTTTTCAAAATATTGAGGTAATTTGAAAATCAATCCATGCATTCTGTATCTTTTTTCCTCCCGTTTGTACCAAATGCTGAACAAATGCTGCCGTAGATGGCACGATCCACCCGTTTTTTTTTTTAACTTTCTAAAAGCAATGCTGCACATATTTTAGACCTAGATTAAGAAACGTCACAACACCCATCGAAAGTCTAAAAGTGTTACAAGGGTCCAAATCGTCCACCTAAAGTTCTGACTAACATGGATTGGGTTTGCTGCACGTCACTCCCTCCGGTGCAGTAGAGACCTGGAAGGGAAACTTCTTCACGGAGCTGGTCGTGCAGACATAGAGACTATTAACCAATCCAGTAAATACTTGAGGTTTTATTTTTAACGGTTAAGAAAGAACTAGAGAGTTATAATAAAGCTGATATTTTCTTGAGACTCTTTAACCTTATCTTTGTTATTCTACCAATAAGCCTCCCAAACCAGTTAGTAAAGTTATTGCTAGAAAATATTTTCCAGAAATGAACTCTGCTTATTAATAGCATTTCTCCTTTTGACAAACAAGGATGCAACTTTCTAATAAAACATGATACCATCAACTTAATATACTTCATGCATTCTACAGGCACAGCCTGTTGGTACAAGAGTAAATTCAAAGTTCAGATGCCATTTAAAAAATTATTTCTATTTACACTATGTTTCTGTTATTCAAATGAGAAACCCTAAGCTTTAAAAATCCCCTTTTAATGGAAAAAATTTAACTTTCATGTGCTTATCCTTACCATCTAAGCAATACAAATTTAAAGTCTTTTAATCATGAATTGAGAAGAATATGGGGTTCAAGGATCTGGCTTCTTAAAGAGACTTCTTGGGACTTTTTAAGCATCCCCTTCCTGAACTTGGCCCCCTGCAAAATGATCTATCTCTCCTTATGAAGGATTTAAAGGATCTCTTATCCTAAGAACATGTTTCATTAACTGTCACAGAAATATCTGATAATCAGATTCTCTCATGTAAAATATTCTGCATAGTTCTTTGCTGTTTGAGGCAAGAATCAATGATTTCACTCTGAAGATAACTCTTTGGGTAATCCTGACATTTTTTGGAGAAAGACAGAAATGAAGGAATGGTCTGTTTCTCTGACAGTATCTTACCATCCTCTGGTTTGGGGCCTGGCATCGGGTCTACCTCCCCACCCCGGTCCTTCCTCACCACTTGTGGGGAACAAATGAACTGTGCAGTTTAGACCCAGTGGTATGCCATCCTTTCTCCTGGATTCAGATGTGTTTCCCATTTAATATTACAAGTAGAAATAAAATGAGACCTGTAAATGGAGAAAACTGAAAGGTCAGCAGTTAACTTCTTGATCCCTCTCCTTTCACCAGCTTCTAGCCTCCACTAACTGTGATTAGGGCAACTTCATCTTCCAGGAGTCAGGTCCCCTTCAGTGAGGGAGGGTGCATACTCCATCAAAGAATGGCTTCCTGGATTCCCTTCAGGACCTGTGAACATGAGATCTGCAGCCACCTGGGACTTGGCTCAAGTTTCAGGAGAGTGATGGGACGGGGGAGGTACCATGACGTGCACCGGGCTGTGCTGGTTCTGAGTTTACAAGGGGTCACAAAGGTCAGAGAATCACAGATGTCAAGAGAGCTCAAGGCCCTACCCCTTGAACATTTTGCAGAAGAATATTCTTCTTACCTCTTTACATTCAGTTCATGGTCCTCTGTAAGCCAGCAGGGCAACGTGGAGTTCTTCACGTGGGAGATTCCACCTATGTCATGTCAAACCATCGACAATGACAACCTATTTTATGGGAGCTCGTCTCCCAGGTGTCTTCTCCATTCTCTTACAGAGTCATCGGGGTCCTCAGGAAAGGTTCGAACTATATGGCTATGCTAGCATTAGATTGGCCAGAGGTTTATTTTTTGAAACATTTTTTTCTTTTCAAAGTTTGCCACGTGAGCTTACTTGCTTCATTATCCCATTACTAGAAGCAGTACCTCTTTAAAGCTGGTGTCAGGCTCATGGAAGAAAAATGCATTTTTTTTTCTGCTTAGAGCTTCTTTCTGACTTCATTCCTAAGAGTGATCTGACGTTTGCATTTTAAGAAAAAACCTTTTTTTTTTCTTGTTGCAAAAATAATTGAAACGGATGCCACCAGGCCCTTTTTAGGCTTCTGGTATTCAGTAGAAATTTGTAGCGTTTAGTCATCCTGCATTAATTGAACAACTACTTTGTGCAGGCATTGAACTTGAGGCTGAAGATCCAAAAATGAATGACAGAGCTTTGACCCCTGAGAAGCACACTGTCTAGTGCGAAAGTGGGGTGGCCTCCAGAGATGAGGAAAATGTGATGAATATCCAGTGAGTAGAGAGCACAGAAGGTGGCTTAACTAGATCTGGGAGCAGGTGGTGAGGGCAGGCTTCCTGGGGGAGGCAGCTTTTGAAGAGGGCATGGTCATATGACTCGGGTTTCACCAGTGGAGCGGGGGAAGGGCATCCTGGGCTGAGAGCAGGGTGTGTACAGCCTTGGAGGAGGGAAAGGGAGACCAGCTCTGTCAGCCAACCGACCTGTCTGGAACAGAGCACCAGGGCAAGGGGTCAAGCCTGAATGCAGTCTGCAGAGGTGGCCTGCGAACAGAAGCGTCTCCTGCCCCACATTGACTGGCTCTTATCCAGTAAATAGGTGATGGTGAGCTCCTGAACCATTTTTTAAAGAAGAAGAATGGCATAATCATATTTGTATTTCAGTGAAATGTTTCTGGCAACTGTAGGAAAGCTAATATTATCTAGCGTTTATTGAGTACTTATAATGTGCTGAGACCCGTGCTGAGAATTTTGCTATGTCATCTGATGTTGCCCTGACAACCATCCTATCAAACAGATACATTATTGCAATACATTTTTTTACCGATGAGGAAATTAAGGCCTAGAAAGGGCACGAGTCCTGAGTCAGGAAGAAAGTTTATGGCTAAATGTTACTGGAATTGTAGAATTTCCAGGATTACAAGTAATTCTGGAAAAACGTTTGGAAAAAGAAACCCAGCCCTTGAAAAAGAGTTAAAGTGAGGCAGTCTGATTCCCTTCTCTCTGGGCGAATAGGGCGTCTAAGTGGGGTATGTGGATTTTTCATCCTCAGAATTCTTCCTTTCATTCATCACTAGGCCAGTTTGAAAAAAGAAAATGAAAAGTGGATCTTGATCCTCAGGAAACTGAGCCTAGAATGTGTGACAGCTTTGGGAGTTTGGAAAGAGATGGTTAACAGACAGCCCTTCAAAACAGGGGAGTTTAGTCAACCCCGGAACACTGGCCTTGCTGATTTAATTCATGACATTAAGGCCTTATGAGGAAGCAAATGAAAATAATCCCTTTGCGATGACTCTTTCCCCTCTTTTCTGAATTAACTCTTCCGTCGCCTAAGACTCATCAATCCTCAAACTT